CGCTTGCTGTGGTGACGTTCAGAGCCACTCCCCAAGCAGGAAACATTGCCTACGGAGACCAGGACCTGACCACACTCCAAGATGCTACATTCCAAACTGGTAGTACCCACGCGGACGTAAGGTGATAAAACTGCTCCCCCAGCCCCACGAGAGATGGTATGACCCTTCTACCATGGCTAGAGTTCCGAGGAACTAGAAGTACATTAATTGATTAAGGGGCGAGGAATGCTGCCCCCTCTGGTTCTTCCACTCATCGGTCTTCTGTATGTCTCCCTTCTTTGTTAGCCCCTTTAGAGCCCCACATCTTGTAGAAAGTGTAGTGAGTAGAAAAGTTGCATTATCCCTGAAGGCCGTGCTGTAACTCAGGCAGTTAGTTGCTGGCTTCCCACTGTGGCAACCCAGATTCGAGCTAAGGTCAGATCATGTGGGATTTGTGGAGGACAAAGTGGCACTGGGGCAGGTTTTCTCCAAGTACTTCAGTTTCCCCTGCCAATTCTCATTCCACCGACTGCTGCACACTCATCATCTATCACCTGGGGCTGGTACAATGGGCCAGTTATTGGCCAATGTAGCAAGTTGACTCAGTCTTACCCTACCCAAAGAAAAGAACTACATTATCCCTGAGCATAATTAAGCACCATGTAATGAAGATGTATGGGAGAGGGGAGGAATAGCTTCACAGTTCTTAACCTCAGCACTAGAAGGAGGTGAGTGGTCAGGTTCACACCCCAGCTGCTTTATTCCCAGGGAATCATTCCCTGGTACCCACTGGACAGGAGGCTGGGTGGGCTCCAGAGCTGATCTGGATGATATGGACAAGGGAAAAATCTCTTGCCCTGTTGGGAATTGAACCCTGACTCCTTGGTCATGCACCCTGTAGCCTAGTCACTATACTGACTGGGCTATCCTGGCTCAGGATGAAGTGCAGTATCTTGCTTAATGAGGTACTGAAATAGACACTTGGTTTAAGAAATGGAGTCTCAGGTGATGAAATCTTAGGTTATGTAGGGCCTCATGGTTGCATAGGGTGTGAGAATAAACTGCATGTTGAGGGTGGGTACAGATATAGGGAAATGAGGGTAGGAAATATGTTGCAAGTTGGCCAGTGAGAGATGGTAGAACCCAAAAGGGCCAGGACAAACATTTTTAAAGGAGAAGGGGCAAGAAAAAATTTTCTTGATGAGGGAGAAGACCAGATGGTACATGGCTTTGTGACGAATATTGGGGTACAAAGCAGAGTTCAGAGTAAGGTGATCCACAGAGTTTGTATGCCAAAAGCATGCGCACCTATGCATCACCAGCTGAAGAGGGCGCACATCCCAGAATATGGTATGGTAATCCTCATATTCATTGCTGTGAGAACCACACGTCACACAAACGACCTTTTGTTTGTAACAGTGCCAATTTACAGAAAGGAAGAAAAGAAAATGAAAGTTTGTTTTCTGTAGGTAACATTCTATAATGTGAAGAGATGGCATCAGTAACTGACTTCACTGTAACTACATAAGTATGTATAGATTTGATACTGAACGAGAGATATTAGCAAGATATCTTGTTTTTAGCCTGGGAAGGCTCTTATGAGCACACTGACCAGCCTTCCAGCTCTCTGACCAGTCACATTAGATTTTACTGCATAAATGTCCTACATGCCAGAACACAAACTTCACATGCTGTTTATATCTATATAATTGTTAAAAATATTCTGTACAGTACAAATGCCTTGTCCATATCAAAATTCTAGTGTTTCAGAGTAACAAGTACTTTGTCGTAAGCATATAACTCTTTTAATTCTGAAATTCATTCAGATATTTAAGAATGCAATTCTTAACTAGCAGAAAACATACTGTGTCTCAACTTAACGTCCATTATTTATCGTCTGTCAATATTGCAACACTCTTCCATTCACCATAAAATTTTTAGTTAAGTGTTGCAATATTGACAGATGATAAATAATGGACGTTAAGTTGAACAACTGCAATGGGATGCTGAAATACAGAAGCATAGTGTGTCTCCATAAGGAAGACCAGTTAAGAAAGTAATTACTGTTTACTCTAAGAACTATATGAAACACATAAGTACACTCTGTGGGTAAAATGCAGAGTTTATGAATGTTAAATGAGGTGGTAAATATAATAACCATTGTGCTTTAAAGTGTTAATGTTACAGCTCCAGTGTATTGTGGTATTATGGCAGTCAACATAATTGTTGTTGTTGTTGTTGCTGATGGTCATAATACCACAAATCATGACACAGAACAGGATGCAAACAATAAAGATAGCTCTACTGTTACTGTATATCTACACTGAAAAATTATGGGACAATCACGCCTTGTTCCGTTAGACTTCACCACACCTTAGCACTGCATAATAACAACAATAAAATCTCATACATTTCTTATCTCACACTCTCATTATAATAATGAATGAACTAATATTGGAAATCCTATTAGCAAAGTGAAAAACTGTCATGGAAGTTTAGTAAATACATGGTTTGAAGCTTTCACAGTGACCATATGTAATGAAGACTTCTTGGACAGTCAGTTGGGTGAAGATGGAGTTAGTACTCCACGGCATAAACCCTGTTTAATAAGAATATATCACAGCTTTATTCACACATAATTTTACAGCATGTTCCTCTCTCATTTAACGGTCAGTGATCCCAAGTCAATAATCAAAATGTTAAACTTCCCTCAGTCTGGTCTTCAAATCCACTCTTCCTTAAATGATCATTAAATTGGCTGACTGTACTTTCTTCCCAGGGCTACAGAAACATATTCACCCGCTTTCCAGGAGCGATTTACCGTGAGAATGACAGCAAGTACTCAAAGCCTCAGTCTAAATACATGGGCAAGTGGATTCCATTTAGTGACTAGCAGATTTCATCTTACATAAAGTTACTTCAGAAGTGAAGTTGTGTTGCTCATATGTTTACCTGTTATGTGACACTTCTTCCAGCCATGACTAGCAGTGCTACTTATCGTCTTCCCTCATACAGCTGCCATTACAATAGAAGCTAGTAGAAATTGTGTTCGTGTTACAGGATATCTGTAATCTTTCACCCATAAATATGGTATCTTCCCTTTCTCCATTGTATGTTTGATATTGTATAGGCTTGTCTACTAGACTGTACCATACTGAGTTTCTATCAGAGTTTTTCTCATGTACCTGGCAGAGTCATGTGACTAGTAGACACTATCTCCTGCGCATGCTGGATACATGGGAGCTTACTAGTTTCTTAATTCACCTTCACATAATCTCTAAAGATATGTTTTATTTGTGTATAAACATATGACATACTGCGACATAATCTGCCAAACATGTGTATTTGTTACCTGCTGAAGTTTACATGTCTGATAGCTTCAATTTCAAAATTTGATTTCAAGGGAATTTCAATTTACCTTCAATTACTTAAATAGGACCAAATTTATGATCAATAAGTTTAAATATTTCTAACTTATAATAAATATTACATAGAGATCTAGTAAATTACTTCAAACATTTTCAAAGGTAAAGGTATCCCTGTAACAGGCCCATAGGATTGTGAGGCATTGAGGCTCCCACATTTTTTTCTAGACAATAGGCTCACAGATGACGGTAAGGTTGTCAGCCTTAAGTGCTGGCCGCCCTTTACTCCCAAGGAAAATTCCTGGTACTCATTTCTGTAAGAGGCTGAGTCAACCTCAGGGCCATAGCGTAGTTGGAATGATTAGGTTAACTGAAAAATCCAATGACCTCATCGGGAATTAAACCCATGACCTTCCGGCTTGTAACATAGTACCTCAACCAACTACAATACTGTGTGACCCCCTTCAAACGTTTTATTGCCTCATAATTCTAAAATGGGACACACCTCACTGGTGGTACTTCATGGTCGGCTGGGTGGGGTATGACATCTTGAAAATAATTAGATCTTAAATAATATTCAGTTAAATATTAAAATGTGCAGAACTGTAAAAATACTCTCTTTGGAAAAACAGGATTCATTTTACTGAGGTGGCACTACAGTTTTTTGACAAAATAACCGGTGGGATGCAAACTTCAAAAGCCGAGAATCTCTGCTCTACGAGACATTTAAATAATGAAATCAACCCTTATAGTGTGTTCATCTTTCCAGTTTCTTATCACTATAGGAATAGCCTAATGGTCACTTACAGCATTTTCAATGCACAAGTAGTATCTTTTAGGAGTAAATGACTATTTAAAAAATACATCATTACTATTAGTTTAATTTTCCAGAGTTATCTTAACCCTTTAATGCCCAGTGGTACCATCTGCTTTAACATACTAAAACTCTGCATTCTGCCCGCACAGTGTATACGGTTCTCACAGTAAACAGCGACCGTTTCATTAAACAGCATTAACCAGTTGAGCTTTGTAGCGGAGATGTGATGTGTTTCCTGTGAGGTATGAATTGGATTCTTATATAGTATATAGAAGAAATTCAGCCTTTAAAGGGTTAAGATTATCTATTTTTTCTACTAGTTTTTAAATATTTCTAAATTCATTTTATTTACTCATATATCACATCAGAAGTACAGTCAACACACTGTTTATTCAATAAATCACCATCACAATCATCTATCTGGGAGATGGGCCATTTCTTGACCTGTTCCAGTCTCATTCATCCAGCAGTCTCTTGCAGTTTTCCTCAGTTCCTTGATCTATGCTGTTTGTAACTTCTTGAGTGGTTTGGAATTCTGTTTCTTTGCATTGTGTTAATGTGCTGAATCCAGTTGGCTTTCTATTTAAAAACTCTTTCCAATATGGATTAAAAAAAAAGGTAAAGCTATCCCTGTAGCAGGCCATGAAGACCCACAGGGTTGTGAGACATCAAGGCTCCCACATTTTCTAGACAATCGGCTCACAGATGGCGGTGAGGCTGTCAGCCTTATGTGTCGGCCGACCGCCCTTTACCCCTAGGAAGATTCCTGATACTCATTTCTGTTAGAGGCTGAGTCAGCCCGAGGGCCATAGTGCGGCTGGAAGGATTAGGTCAATTGAAAAAAAAAGTGACCTCATCAGGAATCGAATCCACAACCTTCCAGCTTGTAGCATAGTGCCTTAACCAACTACACCACCACGTGATCCGCTTTCCAATATGGATTCCGATTTTAGTTCATATAGTGTATTTTCATTTTCTTTATGGCCCATCCAAGTGTATTTTGCTGTTCAGTCCATAAATTAATTTCAGCAACTGGAATTCCGGTTTTTGGAAAACCAAAATGTATAACCCACAAAAATAAATATTAAATAACCTTACTATTTGTTGTATACATGTTATGTTGACTGTATACATGATATATAAGTAAATAATTACACACACCACGATGCAACAATATTTGATTATTTGTACTTAACTTACTCTCAAATTTGTTTTTCTCAGTCTCATAAATTCATATAACATTCATGAACTGCTTTTGACTACACACAATAAGAAATACTGTATGAGACTTGAGGACTCCACGTGAGTGAAGATTCATGTTGCAGTTTCCTGGCTTGACACTGTGTAATACATACACTACAGGGTGTCACAGCACAAAAAGGAAACAAGCTCTCTGCGCTTAACATTGGTACAGCAAAACAATAACATTTTCATGTCAAATAAGATGTTCTTAACTGAATCAAGATGTTCATGTACCAATAAAACCCAAGCTTTATGAATTAACATTGGAAAAGAACTGCCATTGCTGGGCAGACAAAACAGAAGGAAAAGGGAATAAATAATGCAATTACCTGTGCCTTATTGTGGTACCAGCTAACACATCGCTATGTGTTCAGAGTCACTGAACTCTTCTCAAGCAATGCCATACTTCGAGATGACTGTTTATGTTCACGGTGCTGATCCTGTACATTTACAAAATGCTGCAGCAACTCAGTAAAGTCGATGTGTTTGCTATGGATATTGCAGTCTTTCTCAGGCTTACCAACTTTCTGGCCCCTGCAAACAGACAAGAAGCCTCGCTTAGCAATGTCACAAGCTTTGGCATGAAAATGCTCTTTCCTCCAAATATGACCTGTGACTTTTTTTTTATTGCTAGTGGGGTGGGACTAAGTCCCTTGTACTGCGGCCACTTCTGGCCTATTGTACCAGCCCTAGATGATAGGTGAGGGTGATTGTGGAGCAATTGGTGGAATGAAGATTGGCAGGGGAAACCGAAGTACTCGGAGAAAACCTGCCCCAGCGCAAATTTGTCCACCACAAATCCCACCTGACCAGACCCAGGATCGAACCAGGGCTGCCAGGGTGGGAAGTCAGCGACTAACCACTTGAGCTATGGCGCGGACCTGTGACCTTACAGAACTCTACCAGCTTGGCAAGCAGGGGAGAAGCCAGGCCGCTGCAGGCATCATGAGGATCAAAGCCAAATAACCAGCAAAAGTCAAGCAGCGTGAGCTTTTGACCCTGAAGATGGAGGAGGATGTACATTACTCTGAAATTGCGGTGGGCTTGTACTGGACTATGTGGCATCATGTCCCAGAAGACTGTACTCTTTGTAGTGACTGCTGTGAGAACTTCAAATCCAGTGAATTAACTATTAATTCTGAAACCTTACATCCAGCCATTTGAGAAATACTGTATTGCATGACTCATGATGTTGTGTATAAACTGACGTGCAATTGGATCTGATAGCAGTCTTCAGAATCAGTGGTTCTGAGCCTTAGTTCGTGCAGTGATTGGCTATTAGGACTCAACTGCAAAAGTTATATAGCATCAAATGAGATGAGTGGTGAGAAGGTGTTGATATGGAGAGAGGCTATCATGACTTATTTCAAGGTACTATCAAAATATTCACTAGGAGACACTGAGCAGGAACACGAATACTCTCATCCAGGAGAGTAATTTGGCTGATACCTCTCAAATACAAGTCAAGTGTGTTAATGTTACATTAACTATTTAGATGTTGAGTTCTCATGGCTGTATCTATAAAGGATACATTCTCTTGGGATGTAACACTACGTAGCCTGGTTGATGTTTATCGACATTTTGGAGGAACATATTGCCTTCAGCTTTAGGGTTAAGAATACACCGAGCAAGCAGTAATCACAGTAAGTAACTCTCCTCGCTTGCTCAGCTTATTCTTTGACCCTGAAGATGGAAGCAGTATGTTTCTCTGGAATGTCGGAATAGCTCTGTACGATTGCACACTGTCACATTCCAGAGGACTGTAATCTCCTTCTCTAACCTGCCTGACACTGTCATGTACCTGTCAAGGCAGCAATGTAGATGAAGACTAGGAACACAATCGAGCCGCTGCCGGAGGGTGTTGAATGCCTCAGTCTGAGGCAGCAACATTAGCAAACCATACAGTGCCTGCACCAAGTCCTGATTGTGTGGTACCTCAAGCAGTTCAAGGCGCAAGTCTGAAATTGGCACCAACAACAATAAAATATGAGACATAGAACAGAGCGGTATCATCTGATTTACGTGAAATTTTATATATTATTATAGAAGTAATCTGAGCATTCTGTAACATGGTTGAGGCACAATACTACAAGCTACAACACAGGTTTGATTCCTGATGAGGTCATTGAATTTTTCAATTGGTCTAATCCTTCCAGCAGCACTATGGCCCTGCGGTGGACTCAGCCTCTAACAGAAATGAGTACCAGGAATATTCCTGTGGAGTAAAGGGCAGCCAGATGGCACGTAAGGTTGATAATCTCACCGCCATCTGTGGGCCAGTTGTCTAGAGAATGTGGGAGCCTTGATGACTTGCAATCCTGTAGGCCTCCATGAGTGTTACAGGGATAGCTTTACCTTTTTTTATATTTTTTAACTGTACAGGCGCACATACACACAGTACAGAAGGATATGTTCTTGAAAATGTGTTTGTATCATGAAATTCCATCAACATGAACATTGTTTTTCCATTCACACCCTTCTTGTAAGTGGAGATTCAGTCTTGTGGAAATTATATATCAGTCTACAGTAATGGAAATTATAGAACATGACTGTAAAATTCAAAATAAAGACCACATATCTTACGTTATGGAAATCTGAGATAAAAACTGAAACTCTGAAAACATAAAAATGAACAACTGTGACAGATTAAGCCCAAACATTTTATTTTTTAAGAAATAATTATTTGCTAGTAAATTTTGATAGCCTGTGTGAATGTGTTAGTGATGCACCAGGATGTGGCCACCGGCTAATCTATGAGCACGCCCCAGTGATGTAGAAGGAAGACCATTAGTATTGTGGGAACATCCCACATATTATCACAGTGCTCACTTTTCACCAGCACGTGCACTAACCAATCAAATTGCATCCAGTGTTCGCATTTATACAGCGCTTACTGCTAGCCTGCATTCATAACATTACGCGCGCTAGCCAACCAGCGCTCAGCAAATTTTCGCTCTGCCATCATGCACTGTATAAAAGGTGGAGCACAAGCTCACAAGTAGTCAGTCTAAGATCAGTTCCACATCAGTCTACAAGCAAGCAGAACACTTCGTCACCAGCGCTCGGTCTTCGGAGGCATCGGCACTTCACTGTGCCAGGCATGACTGCCTCGGCTGTCCGGCGGTCACACCCCCAACTCACTGGCGTAGCTACTGCCTCTCCACTCCTGCGACTGCGCTCGGCAAGCAAACCTTTTTCCAGCAACCAAGCAACCAAGCAACCTCCAGCAACGGCCGCACTGTGGCCAGTCAACTGACTCAGCCACCTCAACATCCACTGCAACCAACATCCCTTCCTACCGGCGCACGCCGCGCTACCTCACCGGTCAAGCATCTCAGCGACCAACGGTCCTTTTCAGGACCTACAAAACTGTTCCGAAGAAGTGGGTTGTCATTGAAGAGAAATAACGACGACAAAACAACAAAACCCCACAGTATGATTGCTAGTCACACCTTAGTTTGAATTGTGCAGTGTACTGCCCCTACATGTGGAAATGTGCTCAGACACTACTGACTTCAACAGCAAGCACTTCCTTTAGGTGTGCCTATTATTATTTCTGACAGGTAAAATATTGTGCTTTCATTAAAGCTGTGGTCTAGAAACATTTCTGTAGGTAGACACTTCCATTTATGTTACAGGAATCAATGGAAAAGCAGGGTGTGCATTATGGAAATTCACAATATAGACACATCCTCCCTCTAAGGAAAGGGCATGCTGTACGAGTTTTTGGGGAAAGATCCTAAAAGACAGAGTTAGTTATGTGATGGTACTTACAGGTGAATATTGGAGACTCGAGCAGCTGTACGAGTTTGTCAATCTCTGTCAGGAACTCAACAGTCACCTCAAGATTGGCACTGAGCCTGGGTTAAGGTTCTGTGTATCTTTTATTTTATGTTTTGGTTTATTTTATGATAATATCAGTATCTAAGATCAGCTCCAAGTATCTTTCAGGATGTCACTTCATTTTATGTATGAGGTAAGATTCATCTTTAGGAGGTTTTCTTACATTTAATACCAACCTTGCCTTCATTTGATGTACATAATTTGTCCAAATGAGGCTTTGGAAACTGAACCATGGACGTATAACCACCACCTCTGGAATCCAATTCCAGAAGACCAAGCCAGGCCAATATAACCACTGGATATGATGTAAAGGAAATGCTGCTACCTAATTCCAGAAGACAGGAATCATGGTGGTATAACCAGAGATATGAAAATGACATTAAGCTGGAACTCATGGAGACAGGTTATCAGGATGGGATGTGAAAATGGTGGACTTTGGTAATAGCGGTGTTGAACCTTTGGGTTCTGCAACTCAGAGTTAGTTTGTTAGTAAGATAGATCTTATGGAAATAGTTGTGAGGATGGGAGGTGGATGGAACTAGCTCAGGATGGTGTTAAATGGTGACCTCTGGTATCAGTGATGTTGAATCTTTGGCTTCTGTTATCAAAGAGTTAGTTTCCACCATACATTGCAGAAATAATTCAAGTGTGCAGCCATGTGGAAATACAGTGTTCTGAAGGAAAATGTGTAATGTCATAATTACAGAATTTGTTGAATAAAATGTTTCAAGTAGTTCTGATTTGTATTTGGTTGATATCAGCGACAAACTTAGATTTCAGACATATCAAATTCTGACGAACGTAGCTCTGAAGCAATTTGTCAAGGATACAAAATTCGGATCAGGTCACAGACATGGCTGTAGTTCTGGGTAAGAAGACAGAGGGCGACAGTGGCCACAGGGTTGTGGGCCCATGATTTGTACAGGCAGCAGAAGAGAAGGCAACTCTCCTAAAAAATATAAAATAAAACATTTAATAAATTACCTAATTATCCAAAATTATGTGTAAAAAAATACGAATTATTTTCCAGTAATTATTAGTAACAACAGTAGAAGAGGTTTAAAATCGGTTTAAAATTTACTCACTTCAGTTTTTAAGTCCTTCAGCTTGGTCCTGAGTTCGAACAGTTCCGAGGATGTGAGAAGTATTGTGTTCAGTGTCTCCACCATGTTGCTGGCAAATTTGAGGTCCTCCTCATGTAACAGGATCTCTGATAATGTCCTGTAGATGTCCTCAGAGTTCAATAACACACACAGCTGTCTGTGAATTTAACACAATCATTGTGTAAGACAGTTGAAGTAAGCTTTCAGACTATCAGATACTTACTAACAATACAGCTAACTGCTTCTTCTTGCTTCTGGCCTGTCTCTTTCATTAAGATCCCCAATGTTTCTGACATATGTGCTACATATCCTGCCAATCTCTGCCTCCTCCATTCATCTATCTTACATGCCACCTTCCTTATAACTGTTACTTCATCTTTACATCAGTCCTATTTTATGTTACATTAATTTAAATATACGAGTCAGGGTAGTTCATTCAGTGGCTGCTGATGGACACTCACTCACTCAGGAACTGAGCCCGTCTTGAGAAGCCACCAATTTTGCAGCTACTCAAGAACTTCCCAGCATTTTATGAAACACAAAGGTTCATTACTGTGTTCACAAGAGCCCTCCACTAGTCCCTATCCTGAGCCAGATCAATCCAATCTATACTGTCCCATCCTATCTCTCTAAGATCCATTTTAATATTGTCCACCTGCCTATGTCTTGGTCTTCGCAGTGCTCTCCTTCCTTCCAGCTTTCTCACCAATATCCTATATGCATTCCTCCTCTCCCCCATTCATACTACATGCCCATCCCATCTCATCCTCCTTGACTTAATCATCCTAATTATATTTGGAGAAGAGCTCAAACTCTGACCCCTCTGTCTTCTAGTAGGACTAGGATTTCGGTATAAAGCCCCAGAGTTGTTACGAGGGCTAACCTAATGATGAAGGCTCCTCGGTCCTCAAGCAGATGATGTCGGTCAGAACTGAACGATCGTAGGAGACTCACAATGAATTTTGAGAAGTATGGATTCATGGCATGATTGTTGCCCGAACCACAGCTGTCCAGAATATCTTTAACAGGGACTGGCACTGGAAATATAACACAAAAATTAGTATTTCTGTAATTCTGGACTTCGACCATTATGTAGGATTATGAATAGAACACAACATTTTGGAAATTGATCCATTTCCATCCTGAGGTAAAAACGTGAAAAGCCACCTACTCAACTGGATCCATTTCTTAGTGTTGGACGAGACAGAACTCCCTGGTACTTACCTAATAATATTTGATGAGTAGTACAAATGTATAGTTACTGTCACATATTTTTTTATGAAGAGCCATTTTTTTCTTAGAAAATCCAGTGAAGTTTGATTTGAGATTCACATAAAGTACAGGCTACACTGAACTGATATGAACCCGAATTACATTTGTCCAACACATTTTTAGTGTCAATCTCCCAACAGAAAATTTCCTTGAAAATCACCAAGTACTTTTGAGCTGAATCATGTGGATGAACATGCACACTACATCCCCAGTTGAGAGTTCACTTCATTTGTTATGTCATTAAGCAAGTTGGGTCAGATGTTAATGCTAGAATGCCAACACAGTCTATTCTGTCTGAGGTTTTTCATGGTTTTCAACAATCCTTCCAAGAGAATTCTGGGATAGTACCTTGAACTAGGCCATGATTTCTTCCTTCCACAACCACATTCATTACTCCTCCTACCATTTGACAATACATAATATAACCCAACTGACAGCATCGTTAAATGAAACACAAATTAATTAATATATTAGGGCATGTAAGAATCATTAAAAACACTGATAATGGGACTGCAAACTGCTTCTTTGTTCAGTACCCCAGAAACATGAGTGCAGGGAACTGACTTTTGCAGTGCCTCAAAATTCAAGTTTGCAGTTGTGCCAGGGCCATGCCCTGCTGCTTTCCTGGGTACTGGAGCATCACCCTATCATTTCTTTTTTCAAAGACACTGATGTGGAACATAGCTTATTTAATTTTCAACATCTGAGGTGGAAGTGTTAGCCTCCTTCAGTGCTGTATCTCAAAGCGTAAATATACTGTTAGGTAACAAGAATGGCTCAGTATTGTGATATGTGCCTATTTATTTCAACCTGGCACTGTGTGCCAGACAAGCCTGGCACCTTCATTTATTTACTGACAAATGTCAGTAATTGATGACTTCATGAAGAGAGCTTACATGGCAGATATCAAGGGAAACACAAAAATGACCTAAAAAGTTTGTGACAATGGTATATTAATACAATTGTTGACTTTCTGGACATTATCTAGTGCTCTATTTTTTATTTAAAAACATCTCAACAGACTGAACTCCATCTCTGTTATCAGGTAACTCAGTTGGGCCCTATCAACAGGGCTATTCCCTTTCTCTGGAGATAAAGATATTGTTTCAAAAGTCCATAATTACAAAAATTATCTCAATCATAATCCACAATGTATGCCAAAGTCAAATCAGAGAAAATGAAATTTAAAGGAGGCAAAAGCTGCTTCACCTTTCTGGTCATTACATCAGCTATAACAGTAAGTCGCCAATCACGGTGGCCGCGCAGTCTAAGGCATGAACCTTCTTCACCCTCTCAAACACTGGGGTCATGGGTTCGAATCCTACGTGAGGCATGGATGTCTGTGTGTGTTTGTTCTGTGTTTGTGTTATTCTGTGTGTAGGTAACGGCCTTATGATCGGCTGACCCCCCCCATCCAAGGAGTCCTACCGACTGTGTATAGGATTAAGAAACTGAAATAGTGGCCAAGGTCCAAAGGGCTGTAGAGCCATAAATAAATAAATAAAGAAACAAACAAACAAACAAACAATAGGAAGATTATTTAAACACAGAGTGTTTCATAAAATGACAACACAAGCATCATTTACCTTGCAATGAAGAGTCACCAGATGAGGCTAATTTGTTGCCAGCAGGAGATGAAATTATCTCGGCCAGGACCTGCAAATCTTGCTGTACCACTTCGTCCGAAGAGTCCGACAGAGTCCGAAGTAACACTGGGAACAACTCATCAACATGCCTGAACATCTGTAGGGAACATTACAAAAACCATTAGGGATTAGTTGCTAAGGGCGAAGATATAAAGACAGAAACAAAAAACATGAAGTTATCCCTGTGCTTAATTAAGCACCACACCATGAAAATGTATGGAGTACAGGCATTGCCCCAAACATTCTTAACTTCGGCACTAGGAGGAGGGGGAGAGAGGACTGGCTTCACCATGGAAGAAAGGAACCTGCATCCACTGCATCGGAGGTTGGAAGGACCCCACAGCCAGTCTGGATGCTGTGAACTAGAGAAATGGAGCAAAATTGCATCATTATGCAGGAGCTGGGAGGCAGCATGAAGACCTGTGTTATTGGCAACTTGCAGTATTTCAGAGTAACATGACTGAGGGACACATTACAAAGAGAATGAATATTCTGAGCAGCTTTCAGCTCTGAGTGCACCTTGTTTGGAACCCTGATATGCAGATGGTAGATCCAGTGTAATACAGCAACCTTAGTCTGCACCGAGGTGTGTGGCAGGTGTTTGATTAGGACATCCACCACAGATGGCAAGTCCAGTTGTTTCCTCTGTATCTCCTGCTCCTGGCCTTGAAAAGAAAGGAACAAGGTTTATCATATACATCTGAATCTGAAGGCTGCACAAGTGTATCAATGTATTATATTGCAGCATCCTGTTGCATTGGGGCACCATTTTAGATTGTAAAGTATTTTGTCTGTAATGCGACCAAGTCCATCCATTCTTAAAAGACATTAAAGTATATTTAATTTGCTAAAAAGTGTTTGTTAAATGTTTTAAAATGTCATTAACTATGTACATTCGATGTCATTGCTACATGTTTCGGCCACACATGGGCCATCATCAGGTAACGTTTATTATCTGGGGAAACCACTGCAGACTTTGTTCTTAGTACCCTCAGGGACGTTGTTCTTAATTTTCATCATATTTTTTACAAGGAACAAACAGCACTAAACACATACAACTATAGTGAATGACACACTAAAAAGAAACACTGAAATGGCTGCTAAAAAGATGGGATCAAAATATCCAAAAAAGCAAATTAACAACAACAAAAACATCAAATATGTGCCTACGGATAGTAAGGACGAAGTGTACAGTGCAGTGGTCTCCCCAGATAACAAGTGTTGCCTGATGATGGTCCATGTGTGTCCGAAAAACATGTAGCAATGATGTCGAATGTACATAGTTAATGACATTTTAAAACATTTAACAAACACTTTTTAGTGAATTAAATATACTTTAGTGTCTTTTATGACTGGAGTGTCTCTGTTGCATTATACACGGAATACTTTACAAATTGAAAAAGTAAATCACTGTACACAATATTTCAGAAAGTGGATCGGTTTCCATCCTCAGGTGAGGTGGGAGACTGAGCAAGGGACGCAACACAGTAGGTGTCTCCCCCCTCATCTGAGGATGGAAACCGATCCACTTTCTGAAACGGTGTGTTTTCTGGTTTTTAGAATACTGGACAATTCCAGTAATTCTGATTCAATACATAGGCACATGCAAATGTATACAAATTTTGTTTCAATATTAACATAGAAGAGGAAGTAATATTTTACTGAAATTTTGATCACAAACTGCATTTATGAATCTTACTTGAGGAAGCTGTTCCATCTCCTGGCTCCACTGCTTCAGAACCTTCAGACAAATCCCCGTCATCTTCAATCGTGATGAGCTTCATCATGCTGAAATTCACAGCTCTTGCTGTCTCCTTGATGTCTGGGGTCACCTTAAGGATCAATATCATAAAAAGAATGAAGCTATGTCATCTAACAGAATTTACAATCAAGTTCCAATCACAGTGAAAATCTGATTGTCTAGCAGGCAGTGTGGTACATCTATGCTGAAGGTTTCAGCTTCAGGATTGGCCACATCCAACACATGCTTCTCTGTGGTCTGAAACTACATTATCTGTAGATTTCCACTGTCAAATACTGCCTTTGAGGATCTGAGGATAGCAGAACCTCCCTCACAGGTGTCTCCACCTCATGAACAGACAGTTCTGAAGGGTTTTGACAATGGTGTATAGCACTCAGAATCACTGGGTTTTCAGATTTTGTCCATTGCCCAGTATTCTAAAAACTAAATAAATAAAAACAGCATTTCAGAAACTTAATCTGTTCCCATCCTCAGGTAAAGGGGTAGACACCTACTTGGTTGGGTCCCTTAGAAAGAGCTATCCACTGGACGAGGTCAGCTCTTTCTAAAGGACCCAACAGAGATTGTCTCTCCCCTCTCACCTGAGGACAAGAACAAAGCCAGTTTCCGAACCGTTGTGTTCTCTAGCTTTTAGAATACTGGACGATGGACAAAGTCCACAAAACCCAGTGATTCTGAACCCAATACTATGGTCTTCTACGATACAATGTCAGGTCATTTGGTAGACAGATAAACTTTTCAGAGGAACATGCATGCTCCATCTTTAGAGCAGAAGAGTACTTGAAGATGAAGCCAATAGGATCCTCTGAAATATTGGCAGCTATCTACAAAATTACATGACATCACATCCCAGAATGCTGTAACCTTGATATATAAATGGAATTATTCACCTGGCCCAGATGGGAAGAAGCCATTAAAGTCAGACTAGAATTAAAGCCATTTTACAAGAAGAACTGTGAACTGTTTATAATACCTGTTTATCTTTTAGTCCTTGTTTATGTACAGATAAACTAGCTTAGTTAAGCATCTCTATGAGTTAGAAAGGCTGGTTCAGATTCACAGCCCTGAAGATTGTCACGAAAATTGAAAGTTTCAAACAGAATTTGTTCATGAAATTTCACATTCTGCTGCAGTGGATTAGCAGTTATCAATACAGTATGCAAAACTAAATACAAATTGCTTTGCCTTTAATTTATAGTTCAGAGAAACCACCATAACAAAAACTGACCGTTTGCCACATTAACCTTTAAGTGCCGAAGTGCCCAGTTTGTGCCAGTCATGAGTAAGGTCGTCGTGGCCAAAGTACCCAGTTGTGGCCAGTCAGGCATTTAAACTCCGCTAGTGGAAGCGCGCGCACACGCCGCTAGTAGAAGCGCATGCACAGTCCTGAATATTTATTTTTAAATGTAGTAATTACCAGACCGACTTAAGTAAAACCCTAATAGAGGAATTAAAATAATACCTTACTGAACAACAGCAAATAAAAATATACGTATGAGTTATGCCAAAACTTATCCACAATCCAGTAATTTTGTTGCAGATTCTGCAGATAGGTATGTTAAAAATATAGTGTAAAATTCGATGTACATACCTTTTTTGTTGTTACCTTCTTGATGTATATATAGGTTCAAATGAAACTACAGTATTCGATTTCACTACGAACGCACACAAAAGAGATCACGCTCTGTATCTCAGCCACGATGCAGCTGTCTGTTCATTCAAATAGAAGGGGCAATAAGCTTTTGCAGCCCTAACGGAACATCTTAGCACTGAAGAGGGGACCCCTATAGCTTTCTCTTGAATAGCCATTCTTTCATTCTTCTGACCTTCAGTCAAGTATTCGAAAATCCGAAGGGTGTAAGCAGCGCTAGCAGAAGACCAAATGATTTTATTGCTTCCATCTGTTTTATGACACCAGAGACTGCTAAAATTTGTCAAGTGTTACAAACAGAAATGAAGTTATAATGCAGAACAACTCTGTGAAGAACTGGGAAACCATTTTTGCAGTACGCATCAAAATTAAAACACAAAAAATTGAAAATAGAGTACAACACTTTGTATTAAAAATTTCAAATCTTCCTTTATAATATGCGACACTATGTTCTTTTCTGAAATAAACAAAGTTATTTCCATCCATTTATCATAAAAATTGAGCTAGATAGAGCATTTTTAAACACAACGCTTAAAATTGATTAAGCGCCTAACAGGAACGGACATTTAAACGCAGCGTAGCAACGGGCATTTAAACGCGCACCAGCAGCGGACATTTAAATAAACTCCAGCCAGCTCAAGCTTACCACTATTTCGAAGTCCGGCGTTTAAAGGTTAAGGATCCGAACAAAGAAGGCTTTGCCATACATGACCCAGCTTGATGGAAACATCACAGAAGACCAACTGAGAGAAGACACACAGAACATAGTAGAACAAGCATAGACACATATACAAAAGGGCTGCTCGTGGGATGATACAGAAGTAAATGTTTCGTCAGTGGATGAAGGTGGATGGTGTAAACTGACAGGATGAACATAAATTATGTTTACATCTTTAACCTCAGATAGAAATTGTTAGAATCAAGATACAAAGACTGTTTCTGCACCATTTGACAGGGAAATTGAAGAAGTTTCACTGAACTATAAACACATCAACATGGGCACCACATGTCACACGTAAAATGTCCGAATAACAACATCCCTATCTCTGTATACTGCAACAGCACAATGCTGACTGACAATGTGATGACTACACTAAGTAGTATAGTGCACACCAAGCAGTGGTGACATTTAGAGCCCACTAAGTGAAACTTTATGACATTTCCCAACAGAGTGCAAAAAAACAGCATCTGTATACCTTGTTTCTGAAAATGTTTATTTTAGGTTCAAATTGTAAAGGTAAATTGTGTTCACGTTATGTAAGTACTATTTTATCTGTCTCAAGAGAAACAAATTTTCCTAATTCTAAGTTCAATATTCTATGAAAAAATGCAACCACACCAGAAACATTATGTACACGTACATTATAAAATCAATGAAAACAAAGGAGAAAAAACTTGTTAGTAAATACAAAATAATTTGACCTTCTTTCCAAAATGAGACTTTGATATTTTTTACAAGGATACTTTTCTTGGTGTCACTGTCAAAGGCAAGGCAGGGTAGAACAGCCGTGAGGATTCCAGATGCAAATGGAAGCATTGTTCTGCCAGAAAGCTGAACAAATTCCTTAATCCACATGATTGCTGTGAACTGGAACAAAAGATGATATACACTTTAGATGTGCTGAGATTTAGAAACAGTTTAGTACAGTTCCTTTGACATTTATTGGACGCTGACACACTCGTAGATAATAGCACTAAAATTTTAAAATTTGAGGTTACTGATTACATACCTATTTACCCACCTAACAGAAATTTTGAGGTACACAAATTTCCTTTACTGTTTAACTTTGTCTCACATGCACGCATGCACACACATGACATTTAAATGAAACAGTAAAATGAATAGCTTTATGGATTTAAATGAAATTCATAAATGTTATTAAGAACATACCCAAGCACGGGAACAGAAACATTTATTAGACAGAAAAATATTTCCCATTTTCTATATCAGAGAAATGAACTTTTACATTATATATGTCTGCTCTTTGAATAGTGTGAGATGGTGCCAAAACTGAATTTGTCAAATCCAGAGAATGGTCACCATATTCTCAAGATTTAAATGCATCACATTACAAGATCGTAAGAAACTTAAATAGCGTGCAAAACCAGAGAGAACTCATTCAGTCCCTGGAGTTACTGCAAGAAGGAAATGAAGATGCGAGTCTTCTTGTGTCACAAGACGATATCTAATCAGTTATGAACCAAAAGGAAAAGGTACATTTAAGACATAATCGAAGACAGCAGGGGTCCTATATAACATCAGTTTTGATAATAAAAAAACGTGATTGAATTATAAGTAAGATACTATTTTTAATATTTGAAATGGAAAATATTTTTTATAATGAATCAACCAAACTCAATATATTTTCTCATACACATACTCAGGTATGGTCTATAAAACACACATGAGTTTCATTCAAATCTGAACAGCTGTTTATTTCTATCATTTTTAAACCCTTTCTCTTTGCACCACAAAGTACAGTTAGCCCACATACAAATTATACAAAATCTGAGGTCTCATGGTGCTGAATATTAACCTTTTAAAGACTGAATTTCTTCTAAATAATACAGTCAACTCTCGATTATCTGGGGGCGGCTTAACCGGGGCTACTGAGGCTCTTTTGAGTCTTACATGTTGTTTAATATTCATTTACTTTTGTTTCATATGGCGAGTTGTAACACTATTTTCACACTAGAGTGAATCGAGCTCTGCATTCTTTGGTCCCGTTATGCTAACACAATGTTCTAGGTTAGGGGTGAAAGAATGCAAGGATTTGTGGAAAGTTTCAAGGACAGATACATCGCCCCAGTTAGTATCTTTGTATCGATCTTCAAGTGCATTAGCAAAATGTCAGGGTGTAAAAGGAAGCGTGTTGTGTTAAGTATTCAACAGAAAAAGGAAAATTCCACAAAAAAGTAAACGACAATATTACATTTTTTTTAAGTGTTAAGTGTGAATATTTGTAAAAAATGTTGGATGTTGTTGAAGACTGTGACTGAAATAACTAATTCATACTTCAGTGTAATGTAAAAAAAGTATTAAATAGGCCATGAGATGACATAAAAATGAGGTTGAATAAATTTAAATACAGGTAGGCCTATAGTATTATGAAGGTACAGTATTACAGTACTACTTTCAATAGAATTTGTCTTAACCAGGCTTTCGATTAATCGTGATTTCCATCCCCAGCATTATCCCGGATAATAGAGAGTTGAGTGTATATAATATTCAGTCTGCACCTCACAGGAAACACATTATGTCTCTTTACTATGACCAACTGGTTAATGTTGTTTAGGGAAACAGTTGTTGTTTATTGTGAGAACCATACAGAACATAGAATACATTCTGGGTGGTCAGACTGCAGAGTTTTGGTATGTTAAAGCAGGTGGTATACACAGTAACCATTAGGCTTTAAAGTGTTAAGCATGTGATCTTCTGGGATGCGACGCAGTGTAGTCTGGTAGATAGATACCGAAATTCTGGAGGAATCCAGCTATAAAATTACACAGCATCACATCTCAGAAGACTGTAACCTTAATTACATGCAAATTACCTGCAAAACTTCATCTGAAGCCTGGGAATGTGCTATCACAATATTGATCATGCCAGCGAAGTCCACACGAGATGGATCCTTTTTGATGCTGCTGAGGAATTCCCCCAGAACTGTGTCACACCTGATTGGGGATGGAAACATGGATGATTTCGTTACTTCTTGGTTTATACTCTGTCAACTGCACTTGTTACATAGAGTTTACTGATACATGATATGATAGAAGTGGTGAAGGATTCTTTCAAAGCACTATCCAAGATTTTGCCTGCTGGACTGAAGAAAACCATGATAAATCATAGTCAGCATATCTTTGATATGCATGGACAACAACAAAGTTCCTTTGAGAGCATTCATTCATTCATTCATTCATTTCCTTTATTTTCCATATATCTATACAGGCAAAAAAACTAAGATGTGGAAATAGTCCCTTTGATAATAGATGTATACATGTAATAAATTACATAAGTCACACAACTAAAATAATAGCAATAACAATAATACACACACTAGTCAAGTAACATAGGCAATAGAAAAAAAAAAGAAGCTTATTACAATTGTAATTACTAAACATAATTTAAAAAGTGCATTACTGTAAAAACTTAGAATACAATTTCACTCAGATTACCCAAATAATTAAGTACTTTCTTTATTTCATTTTCCCATAAATAAAAAAACATTGATACAGGACTCGTCATATAGATACATACACATCCTCCACTTTCCATAAACATCTTACAGCATTATAAATGAAGACGGTGAATAAATGATTATTGGAGATATCAAGAGGGAGGGAGATAAACAAAGTGAGGAAAGTCACCTCCATCTTCAGGGTCAAAGATTAAGCCCCTGACTCCGCTTGCCACCTGCTTTCATACTCATTTCTTGCTCGGCTTATTCTTTGACCCTGAAATTGAGGCAATATGTTCGTCTGAAACGTCAGTTGATTTAAACGGGCTACATGACCTTATATCCCAGAAGTCAGTATTCTTGATACCATGGAGTCTGCTAGATAGGTCAAAGGTAAAGGTATCCCTGTAACAGGCCAAGGAGGTCCATAGAGTCCCCCACATTTTCTAGATAGTTGGTTCACAGATGGCAGTGAGGTTGTCAGCCTTACATGCTGGCTGGCCACCCTTTACCCCTGGCAAGATTCCTGGTACTCATTTCTGTTAGAGGCTGAGTCAACCTCAGAGTCATAGTGCGGCTGGAAGGATTAGGTCAACTGAAAAATCCAGTGACCTCATTGGGAACTGAACCTGCAACCTTCTGGCTTGTAGCATAGTGCCTCAACTAACTACGCTACCGTATGCACCCCTGCTAGATAGGGACAAATGTTTAAGAGGAATATGCTGCCTCTATCTTCAGGATTCCTCCAAAATGCTGGTACCTACCTGACAATTCATGTCATATCCCAGAACACACTATTCTTTATAATCACTGCTGAGAGAACCTCAGATCTCAAGAATGATATAAGATCTGGAACATTCATGGTGACCAAAAAATAAGTCCTTGGTGATGGAGACAGTGAGTTCCCCTCTTCCAAGAAGTCTCCACTGTCAGTGGATGAAGTTGATGACAAGGAAAAGCAGCATTAGTTCAACAGTGACAACTCACATTGTTTTTATCTCCTTAGTGTGGTCCTCTAGTATTCGGAACAGTCCATCCAAAATCTCGGGCAGGAAAAGAATGAGATCGATGTCCGGAACGGCGTCCAATACCGAAACCCATGAGATTATGAACTGACGAGAAAATGTGTTCTTTGTGTATATCTTCTCACGGAGTAACGGCATGAATGCCACCAGATCAAACGATGAACTCTCTGTCACTATATCCTGCAATGTACATTCATAATTAATTTCTATCCGCTTTTTCTGACACAATGTGCCTAAAGTGAGGATATCAGTGGGAGGTCCTGCCAACCCATTTTCTCAGTTACCTTCTTCAATTTTCCAAACTTTTTTGTTAATCACCTTATATTAACTTTGTGTTCTGTCAATATTATAAGAGAAAAGTGAATTTAATTTTGGTCCGTATCAGTCCAGCATAACCCCAATTTATGTGATGCTGAAATCAACCGTTGATTTCTTCATATTCTTCTTCCTTTGACATTTACACCTCATGTATTACATCAAAAATACAAGATATAAATTACGTGACAAGTTTAATATAAAAGTAAAGGTAAAGTTCTTCCTGTGTTTAACTAATTAAGCACTATGCCATGAAGCGGTATGGGGGAGTGGATAAATAGATCTACATTTTCTTGACCTTGGTACTAGGAGGTGAGTGGTCAGCTTCAAGCACCGGCCGCTTTATGTCGTGAGAAAGAGCCCTGGAGCCCATTTAAGGAGGCTGGGTGGGCCCCAGAACCGGTCTCGACGATGTGGAGAAGAGAAAATTCTTGACCTTACCGGGACTTGAACTCTGACCCATCTTCAACCAGCCTGTAGCCAGTCGCTATACTGAGCGTGCTATGGTTTAATATGTATGTCATACATGTCTGTGCTAAAAAGTCTCATATACACGATTTATCATATTGTAAAGATGTCCCATATGTGAAGAAATATTAACCTTCATGAGTCTGTCCAGCAGCTCCGAGCCATTTTTAACATTCTGGTCAGGGTCTGCAGCCAATTTACTGAGGGCATTGAAGATATCAGTGAAATGTTGAAGCACAGAGCCTCTTGCAACCTTCACCACATTGTAAAGAGACTCGCAAGCATAGTATCGAACTCTCAGATCCGAGTCCAAGAAGCAAGCAAGAATAGGCTGGATCAATTCATCCGTGTAAAGGGCAGTATCCTGGTGAAATACAATGAGTCACATTAGCTTTCAATCTTCTTATATTATGATTTATCCATGATCTGACTCTGCTGTCATTACAAATATCTGAAGATTACTATCTTCTCAGATATGATGTCATATAGATACTTACTAACATTACAAAGGAACCTAATGCCTCTACCTTCCGAGTACCTACCTTGAAGATGGAGGCAGCAGGTTCCTCACAAACATTGGTAAAAACCTGCAAGATGGCACAGGATAACATCCCAGAAGACAGAAGTCTTCATAGTCACTGTCATGACAACCTGACATGGAATGTCATCTCTGGTCAGTTCAAGCATGAAAATGTTTGTCTGTCAGTTGTTTCCATGGAAAATAAATCCAAAACTAATCTCAATTAGTTCTCACAGGACCAGATGATGAAATGTGCAAGAGTGGGTCAATGGCAGTGTTATCTGTGAAAACCATGGCCATTCAATGGGGCTTCCTCTAGTATATTTTGTGCAACTGCAGAAATTACTATTTTAGGGCCTGACAGATGCTATATGGTCTAAGCAACTCACAGTGTTATCAAATAAGCCATAAATAAGTAATGCTTGAGATGCACCTCCTGGCATTAATGATTTCCAGACTTAATTATGTTAATGAATTAGATGTAAAACTGACAAGTTCCTTATCCAAATGGTTGTAATACCTGTATGTATGGATTGTTGAATGATAATAAATGATAATGATAATAATGATAATGCTTCAGTATTAATAAATGCCAGTGGCTTCTTGTTTATTATTTTATGTACTATAAATTCCTTTGACGGACAGCTTAGAATGGGACCGTGCTGGAACAAGACATGTTTTTCATAAGAATTGATAATAAAACAGTATTCTGTATCATGCCTTCCACAAGACAAGGAATGTACATTTTTCATCCCATAAAGCTACAGTTTATGGTGACAAAGAACACTGACTATTGTACCTTCCCCAGGGCCACAGCCGTTGCAGCCAATCCAATGAGCCCACCTTTCTTGGTATTTGTGTTATGTGACGTAGCAAAATCTTGACCCAGGACTTTAAGCAGCTTTTTGATTTGCACTGTATTATTAACGCGTGCAAATTCCTTAACCATCCTAACAGAAAAAACAGGAAATGTCATTACTATAACAATGCAATAAAATGTATGACAGTTGTGTGATTTTATTGTATAATTATGTGCCAATGGCAAATTTTTGGGTATGAAATGTCAATATGGAAACACATTATCACGAGGAAAATGGATAGGACAGGTGAAAGAAAAGTCACAATGATGTTGGCTTTTCGTTCATTACTAACAATGTAAGAAAATACAATATAGAAACAGGCGCAACAGCTAACTGGCCTTCTATCTATAACAGTAGCCTGTACTATTGCAAGAAATAATATGAAAGAGAACATTTTTAAGGTTAGGATAACCCATGCAAAGCGTTCAAACTTACTTTTCTATTTCTAAAGCAGCTGCCTTTCTTTTTTCGTACAATTTATCGTTTAATGCCCTTACGCATGCTGCGCTCAAGGGACCATAGTCCCTTTCTGACATCATGACCAGTTACTTTTTCAAACAAAATAATGAAACTGACAGTTACTGTAAATCACGCCCACAACCCATCATATGTTTCTTTCTCCCTTCCCGGTCATGCAACCACTCAAATGTCAACAGAAGTATTACTATCATGTTCAACACAACAGTCAATGAATGTTACTACACCATTTATTTCTTACAGACATATTCAGTCACAATGGTGTCATTATTACAAGTGAATCAAATTTTATGATTTATAAATTGATTTAAATTAAATGATAAGAATAAAGGAATGAGCCCGAGTGGCAATTTTTGCGCCGATTGCAAGCGGAAGTTACCAAAACGTGAGTGATTATTTAGTAGAATTAGTAAACATGGCGTTTTGTGTTGGTGTTTCGCGTATTAGAATACTGGAAAAGTGCCCGAAAACGTGAGGGTAGAATGTTTTCCTAATGTACATTACTTTAAGTGAATATAAAACAAGTTCGTTAGCAACTAGGAGACAACTGGGATGCTCGAATGGCCTAATTTACGACACAATGAGTATAGAAATAATCTGTCTGAGGAATTTTGGTTTCGACCAGGCCAGTTCCGTATTCTAACAGGCCTAATCCAGTCGGCGCCAATTCAGGTTAATTGTACTGTTTTATGCATTGCCTTGTAGATACTTCAAGCACCTCTATTTTGGAACCAAACTGTATGAATTGGAAATTATTGTGTGGTGTGTGACGGATTGTTGGGCACGAGTCAGACACCTTTGCAGGCCATGCTTACGAGTTCATTCATAGGTGCGGGTTCTCAGTAATGTTAGTGGGTAGGGTAGCCGTTAAGCTGTGTAATTAGTACACCGGTCACCACTTATTGACAATGAAGGCTTTAGCCCATGTTAGGTAAGTAAGTTGAACAGATGTATCGTGTCAACCATTTAAGCCATAAAAATTTAGTTAATTTTTAAATAAATATCTTATGTGGTGATGCAAACATTTAGCATTAAAAAGGGTTTAACTGTAGTGTGAGTGAATTGCATGCTTTTAGTTAAGCTGTACGTGGAAATTTGAAGGACTGCTCAGTGTCACAGCACTAATAACACTTATTAGTCATGTTGAACAGGAGAACATTTTTCTATCATAAAGGTCAATGTGTGTGTATGTGTAGCTATTCATGGGAGAATTATTCTGATTTAGAAAAGGCATTCACAAATCAAAACTAACTGTGTTTTGGGTTTGAGGTTCTCACAAAGGTGACTGAATGGTTCTATCGTCAGGGATATAATATTGTGTAGTCCAGTGAAAGTTACCTGACATTTTGGAGGCATGTATCACCATCTTCAGGGTTGAAGAGTAACTCAAACAAGAAAGCAGCAGAAGCAGGGGGAAATTTAGATTTAGTTTTTCACCTGCTTCTGCTGAGTTCTAGCTTGGCTTACTTTCCTGCTCTGAAGTTGGAAGCGATATGGCCACCTGAAATGTCAGGCTGTTTCTGAACTGCGTGGTGTTACAACCAAGAACACTGTGCTCTTCAAGAAGATTATTTGTTTATTTTTTTAGATATATCTGGGAGTGCACATTCTTTGCATGCTCTGTTTTCAGTAAGAAGAGCACAGGAGTGGTGTGTGTCACTAGCATTATTCATAATTGGTGAGAAGCAGAAGCTGTAGACTGATGAAATTAGGTGTTGAGATAGATCAGTGTGTGTCAGACTTCGGCAGCTGTGGATCACTACGTGGGCGTCAGAGCACACGTGGATCTATCAGCTATCCTAACCTTTGCATTACCTGTAAAGAGCATGCAGTTGTGCTTTTTCCTGCAAGGAAGAGAAAAATTGATTTCAAGTTTAAGTTCTGACAATCATAGTTAATCTTGTATTTTAAATTTGATATATATATAAAAGGGTCATGCGTTAGCATAGCTGATTGAGGCACTATGGTACAAGCCAGAAGGTCGCAGGATCGAATCCCAGTGAGGTGGATTTTTTTTTCAGTTTACCTAATCCAGCCGCACTATGGCCCTGGGGTCGACCTTACCTTTAAATAAATGAATCAATAAATATATATATAAAGTAAAAGTAAGTAAAGGTATCCCTGTAACAGGCCATGAAGGCACATAGGGTTGTGAGATGTCGAGGCTCCCACATCTTCCAGACAATCTGCTCACAGATGGCGGTTAGGTTGTCAGCCTTACATAGTGATTGCCTTTTACCCCCAGTAAGATTCCTGGTATTCATTTCTGTTAGAGGCTGAGTCAACCCCAGGGCCATAGTGCAGCTGGAGGGATTATGTCAATTGAAGAACGTCATCAGGTTTCGAACCCGCACCATTCTCGTTTGTAGCATAGTGCCTCAACCAACTACGTTACCGCGTGCCCAGATTACTTTTCCCACTGAAACTGTCTATGGACCATCTCGTAGACTTACACAGACCACAAGTGGTCTGTGGACCGCAGTTTTAGAAACACCAAGGTACATCATATGTAAACATAATAGTATTCTGTGAGACATTCTTGTTTCCTTTTATTTACTGGCATGTTGGAGGTGAGAAATGTTGAAGTTAAATGTGGGTAGCTTTCATTTGATTTAAATGTTTATGTAGAAATTATGCATGGAGAAAGGTCAATAATTTGCATAGTTATTAAGTAATAGTTTTCTTCTGATCTCAAACAGATGGAGACTTTTTAAGGAAGATGAGGTGCCATGAAATTGTTTGAGATTCTGTTTTGTGCCAGAATGGGTAGCCAATGTGGGAAGGTGAAGTAGGGTGTTTAGATGTTAGCTCTGTTTGGCTGGCTGACGGTGGATTGAGTTGGCAAGTTTCAGTATTGTCAGTATTGAGCATTTGGATTTTCTCATAAGAGAGTTACTTTTTATAGTTTGTGGTACTGTACGTGAGGCATAGCTCTGAATATCCATTGTTGTAGATTGCATTTCCAACAGTATTGCTTTTGGAAATTGGCTCTTTTAAGGCCTCCAGAATTTGTCACTATTTTCCTTGCCCCTCTTAGTCCACTTTTATGTCCCTCCCTGGCAGTGTTACTCTATGCTTGGCCTACACTTCTGCCATGAAGATGGTGAAATGTCTGTGTGCATCGAACAGACTACACAGCCAGATTCCCACCACTGCACTGAACAGAGAAGACCCAACGATATTTTGAAGCTCGCTTCTTGCTCTTAATAATGTATGGGAGATGTTACAGCAAGTGGAAATATTGCTTTATAATTTGCGGGTATGGTTAAAATCCCCATAACCATTTTTTTAAGATCCCAAGTAAACCTTCATCTCATCTCATTGTTTTTAAGTATTGTGGTGAAAAAAAAATTCTCTGTCCACAGATTTCACATTTGTTTGAAGGTTGACTGTGTGTTATACAGTGTGGTCACATTGTATGCAAATTTGAAATAGTATGATATAAAAATATTAATAGTCTCACTTTATGCACAGTGTGTGAAATAATACAAATCCCCCCAAAAATTGGCAAGAATCACATGTGTTTCAAAACTCATCTTAGCTTCAGGAACACATCCCTCACATAAACTGTGAACGCAGTGTATTTATTTTTTATGAAGCCATGTTTTCTTTTGTATATTTTTGTCACATATTCCCCCCCCCCAAAGCACATGTATGGATGTATTAAATAATTTTTTTGCTGGTTGGTACTGATTCAAGTTCCGAGTGCTTGAGCCTATTGTTAGACTGTTTTACGAAAATATATGAAAGATTATTCAGTATAGTCCCAGTACCAGTGATAGGGAACTGTTTATCTTTCATTTTTATCAAGGAACCGAATATTTTAATATTAATATTAATTAACAGTGAATACAGTATTCGAGTGTTGTTCCTTCTTTATAGTTCTAGTGATTATAAATTGTGATATTGACAAAGAAATCAACTGTGTCCCACATGAAGAACAGGTACTTGTGCCTGTGAAAAATGAAGCTGATTGAGTAATCCTTTGATTGCCAGTTAATTTTTTGTAGACCTTTGTTAATACTGATTTTACTCTTCTCTCTGTCGTCTAGTGTCCTCACTATGGCAAGTAGTTCTCATCAGGTGATGCAGTAGTTGTTTTACATATCCATAATGTAATGATATTATATTCGATGTGGTCCAATACTTCTTTAAGAATCTGATCTGTACCACTTGTAACACCAGTGTAACGTGTAGGCTTTTTCCGTGATTTCGGTGAGTACGTAAGGGGGGGGGGGCTTATGCATATGCCTGCGTCTGCCCCTCTCCCCTGGCCCTCGCCTGTTTCCTGTCAGTTGGCCACCCTTCCGACTCATTTCCCTGTTGTTACTGGATCGCCATTCTGACAATATTATCATGTAGTTGCCAGCTGCAGTTAAGAAGTCTTTTTCTGATCCTATGACATATATTGGAAATATAATTAGCTATTCTCCTGTTAGATTTGCTGTATCTTCCTGTTGTGCTACATAATGAGAAATCTGAATCACAGCCAACAGATCGACTTCTTATTCTATCATTGCATCTTTTTTATGTGGATTGAGGGACAAAGTGTCTTCAGTCTCTTCAGTTTGTCCACATCCTTTTGTTTTTGATTTCTTTGTAGCTCTTACCTCTCTTCTTGCTTGACTAAACAGTCTCGTTTTATGCCATTCCGCATCTCTTTCCTTTACATTTTGAGTCTAATGCCCTTGCTTTATCCATTCCTTTTACATGGCCAGACCACTGTAACTGATTCTCTTCCAACTCATTAACAAATTTTGAATTTAACTTATTTAAAAAATTAATTTCCATTTCTGTGCATGTAGAATGAATGGGGGAGAAGAGGAATGCATATAGGATATTGGTGGGAAAGCCAGAAGGAAAGAGACCACTGGGAAGACCAAGGCGTATGTGTGCAGAAAATAGTAAAATGGTTCTTAGAGAGATAGGATGGGATGGTATGGATTGGATTGATCTGGCTCATGATCGGGACTATTGGAGGGCTCTTGTGAGCACGGTAATGAACCTTCAGGTTCCGTAAAATGTTGGGAAGCTCTTGAGTAGCTGCAGAATTGGCGGCTCCTCAAGAAGGGCTCAGCTCCATGAGTAAGTAAGTAAGTAAGTAAGTAAGTAAGTGCTCTCTTGTTCTCTCCTCAATACTTCTAAAAAATTTAATAGCCACTGTTTGGATTTTGCATTTGTTTCTCCTTGTAAAGTTCCAAGTTTTACTGGTATGTGTTGGTATCAACTAACTTATGAGAGCAGCCATATTGACATGCAAATAGTCGCATTGTTACTGTTAAATGGTCAGATATCAATATTCTGCAAAAATATGTTATGGGAGGGTCAGCTGTGTGAGGAAAATCCTAACACTGAAAGGGTTCATGGAGAGAAATGGAATTAGGCAGTTGGTAGCCCTATCTTGATGTTGCTTTAATATGAATCTTAACTGTTGACAATAATCTTTGTGCTTTGCAGGTCAGAAGGGTGCATCTAGTGTCCTTGGGATATGGGTGGGTGGTGGTTTGCATAGTGGTGTGGTGGCCTGCCATGCAGTCGGAGCCGGGCCGGTACATCAACTCAGTGTCAGATCTGTACGGCGCAGACGAGATTGAAGTTCTTTTGGAAGAGATCCGCGACCTGGAGCCAGCCAGCTGCAGACCAGAGGATATCCAGGACTTTGAGATCGCTGGCAGCCAGACGGGGGTAGCCACCACAGAAATTGACTGCGAATCCCCAGCTGTCACGGTCCGGTCCTGGGACTCCCATGCCAACTATCGCCATCAACTGCCTGAATCTCCCCCCACCGCTTCACTTTTCTCTGGAGTGATCCTGTACTGTGATGAAACTCATCTCAAGTCATCCACTGGAGTTGTACGGGTTCTGCTAGTGGTAAATATGTCCTTAGGCATGAGTGTTTGGAAAAGTTATGCGGGTGGAGTCTTGTGTGTCATTGAATTTTGCTCTCATTTGAGTGTTATGAGCTCTTGTGGCCTGCTTCCACATGTAAAATGTAATTTTGTTCCTGTGCTTAAATAATCGTGCAGTCAAGCACCATGCCATGATGATGTAACTCCATGGAACTGAGCCCTTTTTGAGAAGCTTCCAGTCACTTAGCTACTCAAGAATTTTCCCAACATTTTATGGAACCCAGATGTTCATTGCTGTGTTCACAAGAGCCCTCCACCGGTCCCTTTCCTGAGCCAGATTAATCCAGTCCATACCACCCCATCATGCCTCTCCAACATCCATTTTAACATCCTCCCACCTAGGGGAGTCTTCCTAGGAGTCTCTTTCCTTCTGGCTTTTCCACCAGAAGCCTATGTGCATTCATCTTCTCCCCTTGCTTGCTACGTGCCCTGGCCATCTCATCCTCATTGACTTGATCATTCTAATTATACTTGGCAAAAAATATAATGAAGCTCCTCACTGTGCAATTTTCTCCAACTTCCTGTTACTTCATCCCTCATTAGTCCAAATATTCTCAGCATTTTGTTCTCTAACACCCTCAATCATGTTCTTCCTTTAATGTCAGGGACAAAGTTTCACACCCATACAAAACCACAGACAGAGTTATAGTTTTGTGTATTATAATTTTTACATGTATAGACAGCAAATGGGAAGACAGAAGTTTGTGGTCTGAATGGTAGCAAGCATTACTCGAATACAGTCTCCTCTTAATTTCCTCCTGAATGAAATTTTGTTTTGTTCCTGTCATTCCCAAATATTTCAACCAGCTTGCAACCTCAGTAACCTTAAATCTGAACAGTCCTGTTTCTCAAAGTATACAGCTGCAGGTCACTATAAGGTTCTGTCTGCCTTCACCCTTCTGACTCTTGCTCCTGTTTCAGGTCTCGTCTGTTGCTTGTTTAGCTTGCCTGTGCTCATCGGGGACGGTGAAGGTGGGACTGTTCATGCTTCCGCTGGTTGGCCGCCTACGCCTTATGATGTTTGTGACGGTGTTCAGCCTCCTTGTGACATGTTTATTCATTTTCTTGGACATATCACACATTGTTTATTTCTTTCCATTTAACTGGGGAAAGTTGGTAAGTGGTATGGTTTGGCTTCGTCTTATTGCATGAGCTACTGTTTTAATTTAATGTGAGTGGGATATCTGTTGAAAGCTAGCACACAAATTGTACAGTTTCAGACTGTAGCTGTGATTCCATTGGTCCATCCTTACACATTGTATTCCTTGACATGCAGTGTGAACTTGAGAGGTACTGGAAAGGCAGAATGATAGAATAAGTGTAATAATGGTGTTGAGATACCTTTTTAAGCAAAAATCAATGCTCTAATTCCAACTTACGGCACTCTAACACTGACTGAAACATTGCCATGTTTTGCTGTCATTGTTTTTTTCCTGTGACTAACAGATTTCAAAGTTTTGCTTTTGGTTTCTGTGTAAATGACAAGGCAGCACATTCTCACATCCTTGGTCAATCCTTGGTCATTTAAGTTGGGAGCTTCAGCCATGATTCAGCTCTTGGCAGGTTACAGAGTGAGAAAGTTAAACTAAACAGTGACAGATCGTGGATACTCTAAAAGCATTAAAAGTGAAAGGTAAAGCTATCCCTGTGCCATGAAGACATATGAGGGAATGCAGGTATAGCTCCACCATTCTTGACCTTGCTACTAGATCTAGTTTAATGGTCAGCTTCATGCCCTAGCCACATTACCCCCAGGGAAAGAGCCCCTGGTACCCATTGGATAGGAGACTGGGTGGGCCCCAGAGCCAATCTAGACGGTGTGGAGAAGAGAAAAGTTTTACTCCTACTGGGAATTGAACCCTGGTCATCCAGCCCCATAGCCTGTCCCTATTCCGAGATGTCCCCCCCACAAAAGAAGGTACGGTCAGCACAAAATAAAATAGTTGAACAAATACAAAATTGTCTAAAGCATGTGAAAAAATGACAGGTGAGAGACTACATAACCAGATTGTACATGGTAAACCAGAAGGATGAGGCTGAGGAAGACCTGGGAAAATGTGGAAGGAAATGAGTGCATGAAACTAAGGAGATTAAGGCTTTACACTATGTGCTAGTACCCAACAGCAGTTGTATTAAAGTTTTACAGTGTGTGGAGTACATGATGCTCAGCTAGACTTCACATTTTCTTATGATGTGTTGCAGAATGCGTTGTTCTATGTGGGTGTGAGTGTGCTGTACCTCATTGGCTCATCGCTTGTTATCCACCTCATTCATATGTACCATGAGTCCTATTCCTGGGTCCCTAAGTGGACTCGGGATCAGCTCTTAGTCACTGGGGTAAGCACTGCACATCCTCATTTTGCCACTTAGGTTACTCTGACAGATGTGATTTAACCCTTCTGCAGTTGCTAATTTTGTATAAGAGTTGCCACTATGACACTGCGCTTCCTAGTATGGTGTGTGTCAGAGATATTTACAGAAGAGATTCCACCCTCTTTTGGCTGCCATTAGATTGAAGCGTGTGCTGGCAGATGACATTTATTTTCTAAAAGCATAAATTTTGATGTGCAGCTGTGATACTATGTGTTGCATTGTTCTTTGTTTCCTGGATTACCATATCCTCTTAAACTACTTATGCCTAAGTTACTACTTAGATATAAAGCTTTGATATTTTTTACTAAATGTTCACAGAAACTGTGGTAAAAAATTCAATCGACTTTGCTTTCTATTGCACTGTCATTAGATCTGATATTGGAAAATATTACTAAAATTTGTTGACACACTCCAGTTTTCATTAGAATGTGACAAAAATAGCAAATACTACATATGAAGACTATATCTAAACTGTTTGTATATCTTGATCATAAACTCATTCAGTATTTTGAGCAAAAAACATTTTGAATGGATGTAGAGAAAAATATGGATGTTTTGAGCCCAGTACTTTTTTTTCCACGTCAGTTGTAAGGAAGACAAAGTTCTCAGAGGGCCATAGAACCAAGGAGTGGCATGGAGTAATGTGCTCAAATAACTCTGTGTTTTGGAATGAGTGTGCTGCAGAAATGAAAGGATTAAGTGGTTATGTCTTTGTTGCCAGATCTTGGGTTATGTGTGTGCACTAGAGGCATTGCTGCTCTCGATCATCACGAGGCACAGTGCATTGAAGTACAGTCCTGTGGATGAGGATCCCAGCCAAATGACTCTCCAGGAGAGACGGGACAGAGAGCTGCAGCCCATGAGTGGGTCTCGGTCTCCGTCATCCACATCTTTGAAACTCCAAGTTCCTCCCCCAAACCAGCTGCCATCTTTGCAGCAGTCGAAACAACAGCAGCAGCAGTGGGTTGCCATAGCCTCCACCTCAGCCCCTGCGCCTCGAGTGTGGCCAGTGGATGATGTCCAGCCATGTTCTTCCAAATATCCGGACCCTTACATGGTCGCATGATAGTGCGCCATGCCCTAGCATGTTTAACCTTTGCACTGGGTCACAGCTATGCCGTGTCCCTTATGGTACCATCATCACCACTGCCAGTATGATGATAATGATGCTGGGAGGAAGATCTACTTTTTTAACGTTGTGGTCTTGTGCAGTTCTGGACAGGCCTGTGACATGACAAATCAGTTTCTCAGTCTGATCACTTTAGATTTGAACTATCCCTCTTTTGAATAGAGCATTGTGACCTGTAGAAAGGAAATGCATGTATGTCTTGTAGACAGGTGTTAGAATGTTGACGCAGATTTTGTGGGAGTCCCTTTCTGATTCATTCTTAAACCTTTCCAGTTCATTTAAGATGAAATGCTTTGATGGGGCTCTGAACAAGATATCTCCCAATCCTGCAACTCTGGTTATGTTGAGTTTACCATTACAGGCTGGAACATTGTTAAGAATATCGCGATACACTTGAGTGTGCCATAAAACTGGTGGAAAGAGAATACCAGTGGCACACCCAGCACATGTGTTAACTGGAAAGTGTTAATGATAGCTTTTTTAATTTATGGTTGTCATGCTTTGACAGCTTGAATTTAATATTGAGTGATGCTGTTTAGTTTCATTTGTTAGTTAATGAAGTTACATAAGTTGAAGAATTTGTGTGAAACCAAACTGTAACATCCATTTTCATACTTGATTTCTGTATGGCTTGATTTCACCACTCAAGAGTCATAAATGTTACGAGAGGTTTGGTAACAGTACTAGCCATGAAAGCATTTAAATTCCATATTTGAGAGACAATTCTTTTTTTAAATGTCCAGTTAAAAATTTTAAATTTTTTAAAAGTTTCTGATGATTCTGAGTACTACAGTTTCCTTCATTATTGGAGAAACTTGTAAATAACTTTTTTGTAACGCCAGTAGCCGTGTTTCAAAATCTGCAGATTAAGAAAATTGTATATAGGAGATGAGGCCCTGTACCTCATTATATTAATTATAGTTTTTATTAGATAAATCTTTGTGTTATGTGTATTTTAATGCAAGAAAATCAGTGAGTTTGGCTTGTCACTTTCTGTCTCCTTCCCCTCAGTATGTTACAGCGTACAAGACAAATAGATCAGGAATACAACATTTCGCATGGAAATGGAATGGAAGTAGCGTGTTTGGTTCCTAGATTAGTGGCAGGCCTGCCTAGAATTGCTTTGGCCTTGACACGGGTAAAAAATTGCAGTGCTGATATTAGTAACACTGGTGTTAGCAGAAAATGGTTGTTAAAACAAAAGTAAGATAGTGGGATGCTGGGTGTAAGTCCCAGAGGCAGTTTAAGAAGTGAAATCTCTTTGTGTTTGCTGAATGCTGTGTCCCTCACAGACAAATGAGTATTTGCATCGTTCTTGGACTTGGTATGAATGGTAAATAGGCAGACAGACTCATGACTGTTGATCTGCGTAGGCTCTGTTATGGGCCTGGTTAAGTCCATCTTTCAAGATAATGAAGTCACTTAACCTAAAGTACTTCAAAAGGGCACAAGTATATTTGTCTCTTATGTTTTCAATATTGTGTTTAAGTCAGTTTATGTGAGAACATAAACATTGTGATAGAGTGGATAGCAATCATGCCTTTTCCTGGGTTCAGGTCTTGGCACAGACCGACTATCCTGACTGAGGGTTTTGTGGTTTTCCTCAGTCCTGCCAGGCAGCTGCTGGGATGTTGCTTCACAGTAGGCCATGGCCAGTTTTTTCCTCATTCATTCCAATTTATTATCCAGTGTCTAGTCATTTGAAGCCAAATAATCCTTTTGAAATCATTGTTAACTAAGCCTATGAGAGCATGACTGACCCCATGGAGCGGAGGCCTTCTTGAGCATGCACCATGCAACAACATCAAGATTTAAAAATTAAATGCTTTTTAAAATTTGTCACTGCACTGAATGTTTTGGCCTACTTGGCCATCATCAGGTGCGTCGGAATTTTGGCGAACTGCCATGCCCTGTGCGCTGCTGCAGTCGGTGTTTGCACATTTATAATATTTTTAAATGAAGTGAGTCTAGTTCCTCCCTCTTTGCCACATGTATTGTCTTTTTGGTATGCCTGTTGTCTATCGAGTGTGCAGTATGGATGTATGGGAACTGCCCACATTCAAGCAAGCGGACAACGCAAGCGTCATTGCTTAGCAACAACGAGTAAACAATGGTGGCTAGGCAAAAGCGAGTAAACAGCGGTTGCTAGGGAACTTGTAAACACGGTAACCGGCAACAGCAGTACCTATTACATAACCGTTTTCTATATGTCGATTCCAGGCTACATAAGAAGATACACTGAGTTACAGTGACAGTCTAGTTCTACCGTTCTACAATACCAGTTCAGTGATCAAGCAGTTCACTGTTGTTGTTCTCCATCTGTGTATACTGTGCAGCTACAATAAATCCTATAGGACAGTTCAACTAGTGGTTGTCTCTTCATACGACATCCCACATTGGTGACCCCGACGTGATATCCTTTGGTTTCTCTTCTGTACAAGAACGCTTGGTTGGTGGCTCATAATCACAGTCACCCACCAGGGGATTGTCGAACTGCAGAAGTTCAGCCATATCAGATAACAACATGGCTACATCATCTTTATCGGAACTGCTGAAAGTCCCATCTTCTGAGACCCCAGACTCAGGGAATTCTAGATTGTTGCAGAAGTTCAGCCATATCAGAAAACAACATGGCTACATCATCTTGATCGGAACTGCTGAAAGTCCCATCTTCTGAGACCCTAGATTCAGGGAATTCTAGAAAGTTTCTTGAATGACCTGGAAGAGGTGCCATTTTGTTTTCTGGCCATCACAGTTGGGAGACAAGCTCTGATTCAGCCTTCAGCGGACACCTTATAACCGAGGAAGGTGATCTCAGGTACTCGGAAGACGCACTTCGCCGGGTTTATGAGGATCCCATACTTCTGCAGTCGGTCGAAGAGTGCACGTAGGTGTTGCTCGTGTTCCTCTAGAGACCGGGAGAAGATGATATCATCCAGGTAAGCGAAACAGAAGTCGAGTCCCCGCAGAATGTCGTCCATGAAACGTTGGAAGGTCTGTACGGTGTTGCGCAGGCCGAAGGACATGAAGGGGAACTCGAATAGGCCGAATGGAGTGGTGATGGCCGTCTTCTGTATATCACCAGGATTGACGGGAATTTGGTTATAGGCTCGTACCAAGTCGATTTTGGAGAAAATGGTACAGCCATGGAGCTGGTGTGAGTAGACATGGATATGCGGGACTGGGTAGCGGTCAGGGATTGTCTGGGCGTTTAGTGCTCTATAGTCGCCGCAAGGACGCCAACCGTTGTCTTTCTTGGGCACAATATGTAGTGCCGAGGACCATGAACTCTCTGATCGACGAGCTGTACCATCTCGCAACATGGCATCGAACTCGGCCTTTGCGATAGCGAGTCGGTCCGGTGCCAGTCGCCGTGGTCGGCAGGTTACTGGTGGGCCGGGTACAGTCCTGATGTGGTGGACGGTGTTGTGTCGTATCTCGCGCTGGACTCCAGCTGGGCGGGTCAGGTCCGGGAACTCTGTGAGGAGGCTGTCGATCGGTGTGTTGCTGCTGATTGTCTTTACACTGGGGATCAGTGCGTTGGCCGCTGATGCCGGGGCTGACAGCGTCGTGACCCCGTCCAGGATGCGGTTGTTCCGACAGTCCACCAGGAGACCGAAATGCGACAGGAAGTCCACACCGATGATAGGATGCGGGACGTCGGCCACCACGAAGCGCCACGTGAATTCTCGGCGTAGGCCCAAGTTGAGGCTGAGAGGCAGCCATCCGTAGGTGTGGATGGTAGTGCCATTAGCCGCACACAGGTCATAGGTGGTACGTTCCATGCGTCGATGGACGAGCCTGCGGGGATATACGCAGAGGTCCGAACCCGTGTCGACTAGGAACTGCCGTTTGCTGACTCTGTCCGTTATGAAGAGGCGGCCTGTTGTACCGCAGACATGTGCCGCCGATGATGTCCGCTGCGTCAGTTTCCCTGCTGGCGTAGGAGCAGGGCGGAGTACAGTTTTGTGCCAGAGCGCCGAAGCGGCGGTGGTACCAGCAGATACTGGATGTGGCGTCGCCCCGGGAGGGTGATCTGCTGCCGGGCCGGCGGTTGTTGAAGGCGGGGTGGGAACCCTTGGGACTGAAACCTCGGCCGTACATCCCAGCTCCTCTACGGTTCGAAGTGTTCCAGTCCGTCCATGATCTGTTGCACCCAGGAAGCAAAGCAACAGCGAAGCTGGTCGCACAGCGATTCGTGTGGCCAGGCGTGCAGAAGGATTGCCGCACCTGGGCACGTGCTTGCCAGGCCTGCCAGCGCTCCAAAGTCTCCCACTACACAGTCACTCCCATCCCGGACATCACAGCCGACACAGTGGCACGAGTCCTACTGACCGGCTGGATATCCCACTTCGGTTGCCCACAGACCATCACCACCGACCAGGGACGTCAGTTTGAATCTCAACTCTTCCACTTCCTGGCCAAGCTCTGTGGCATTCAACTATCGAGAACAACCGCTCACCACCCAGCGGCTAACGGACTCGTGGAACGTTTCCACCGAACACTAAAGGCAGCCATCATGTGCCATGCAGACCAACACTGGACAGAAGCCCTACCCCTGGTTCTCCTGGGAATCCGCACGGCATTCAAAGAGGACCTGCAGGCATCAGTAGCTGAGCTCGTGTATGGTGAGCCACTAAGAATACCAGGAGAGCTGCTAACTCCGACTGCCGAGCCAGTGGATCCAGCGCACCTCATCACCCAACTTCGCCAATATATGGCCCGCCTCAGACCAATCCCAGCAACACGCCATGCCTCCCCGGCTACATTCGTGCACAGTGACCTCGAGAAGTGCACACACATCTTCCTCCGGTAGGACACTACTCGCAGAGCATTGAAGCCCCCCTACAGCGGCCCCTACCAGGTCCTATCACGGAAGGACAAGACAATGCAAATCCTCGTGCGCGGCAGGCTCATCACCGTGTCAACCGATGGGGTCAAACCTGCCTACATGTTAAACGAGACAGGCCGTGGGACCACCACCAAGACCTTCACCCACGCAGTTGACGAAACCCCAACCGCGGTTCCGGATACCGTGCCACCACAGCCTGTACAACGAACTACACGCTCCGGACGTCATGTACGTTTTCCTGATCACTTCAACAGCTGAGCAACCATCTCCACGGGGGGTGATGTGGGAACTGCCCACATTCAAGCAAGCGGACAACGCAAGCGTCATTGCTTAGCAACAACGAGTAAACAACGGTTGCTAGGCAAAAGCGAGTAAACAGCAGTTGCTAGGGAACTTGTAAACACGGTAACCGGCAACAGCAGTACCTATTACGTAACCGTTTTCTATATGTCCGATTCCAGGCTACATAAGAAGATACACTGAGTTACAGTGACAGTCTAGTTCTACCGTTCTACAATACCAGTTCAGTGATCAAGCAGTTCACTATTGTTGTTATCCATCTGTGTATACTGTGCAGCTACAATAAATCCTATAGGACAGTTCAACTAGTGGTTGTCTCTTCATACGACATCCCACAGATGTTATCTTCTTGAGAAGCTGTTAGTTGCTCAGAATCCCCATTGTTACAGGGAACTAGAGGTTCATTACCATGTTCACAAAGCCATATTTTTTCCATGAAGATTACTATCTTCTGGGATATGGTGCCCTGTAGTCTGATAAGAGAGGTACCAGTGTTTTGGAAGAAACTGTGGCCTTCATCTTTAAGGGATAAAGATTAACTTGATCTAATAGATGCAACAGAGTACTTCTCATACCTTTACCGGATGACAGGTGCAGAGCCAGCGTGTGAGTGTGGTGTCTGTTTAACCAAAACGCACTGGAAAAGTCCAGTGTGTGTCAGTTTAATGTACATTATTATCACCATGTCCTGCAAGTTACTGAATCTAGTTTAGGATTTCTTGACCTTTGGTTTTGTTAAAAGTGAATTTGTCCTTATGTGTCAGCACCACACTATTACTATGTATTGAAGCATGGAGAGAATGCTCCACATATTTTTAACCTTGACATTAGTTTGCTCTACTTTAGCCCTAGAGAAAGAACCAGTAGCATCCTTTGGAGGGGAGGCTGTGTGGGCCCCGGGGCCAGTCTGGATATGGCAGTGAAGAATATAATCCTTATCTCTGCTGAGAAACGAACCCAGTCCATCCAGCCTATAGCCAGTTACTTTACTGATGGCTATGCTGTCTTCTCTTTGAATTTGGGTTAAAATAAATTGTTTTGGCAGTACAAGACTTTTGTCTTCTAGAAAAGTTCTAATTATTATGCATATGTTAGGGATATAAGTGATCAGTTTTATTATTTTTATTTTGTAAACACATAATTAGTTTTTTATGTTTGTTACACATATTTTTAGAATCATGCCTTGCGCTGAAGTACCTTAGTCCAGAGAATATGAATGTTACCCCAAAATATTATCAGAAAACAGTTTAATATGAGAAGGAAATGGAATTGTTTGTTGGAAATTTCACGTGAGGCTGACTTTGTCTCTACTTTCTGCCTCTTTGCATGTACTGGTAAAAAATTTATTGTTGCTTCCTGCTTTGCAGCATTTCCTTTTTTACACTGATGCTCCATATTATCAGTGCACTGCCTCGTACATAATTCTCAGAGCAGCCATCTCACTGAGTATATTCATGAAACTGACTTAATATTTATTATTTTTATTTATTTATTTATTTATTGCAATAATGTCACTGACAGGCGCGGTTGCTTAATTGGTATAGTTCGTCTGCGGAGTTTGTTTGTTTTTGAAGAGAGTCGTCTTCTGGGTTTAGGCACCGTGCATTCTTCGTGTTGGCACGACGTGCCAGACCCAGAAGACGACTCTCTTCATTGTCATCGCCGTGAAAACCTCAAAACTTACATTTGTTTGTTTTTGTTTGTTTATTTATTATATTGTATTTATTTATCATTGTATTTTATTAAGTTGCTCATTTACTTATTTATTTATATTTTGTTCAGTTGCTTCTAGAAAATATTGTTTTATTTCTTCAAAATTTAAAACACAATTAGGTATGCAATTTTTAATATTGTTTTAAAAATGTGTGTGTTTTAAAATTAGTATATAAGAATCTGGAATTCATAAAGAGGTGGAATAAAGTGTGACAGGCACAGTGAATAATTATTGTACTGCATTCGTGG